GGATGTAGCTGAGTGTTAAGAGATTTGCCTAGCATGGGTGAGGCCTGGGGATATAGCTCACTGGTAACATACCCCCAGGTTCAATTCCYAGTACCAAGAAAAAAGACTTTGATGGACTCTGTTAAATTCTGTGTTGGTTGCTGATTTGCAATTGTAGTTTGCAACTTTTTAATATAGTCTATTTACTGTCTTCTTTGGTATTTCAACAACTGGAAAGAATTTGCTATAAGGATTAAATGAAATTAAAATATATAAACATAGGAGCATAATATACGTTTAATGAATGGGACAGCTCTCTGCTTCAGTCTTCCAGACATGGCATAAGTAATTTGTATTTGACACCTTTGCCTAGAAGACTCTATCCTTTGTGACAGGTCAGCTCACTAATGAATATTTTCATGTATGACTATTTCTATACCCTAAAAAACATTCTTCTGAGCTCATAACTTTGACCTTTGGGTAAAGAGAATACCGGGGTGTAAATGACGATAGTCCTAGGAAAACAGGTATTTCTGGAAGCAGATACTGTTGTCAGGGTTGAATTGACAGCAACCTGAATCTTACAGTGTTTTCTTCTAGCAGTTGGGTTGAAGGAGCCCATTATATTTGAGAAACATAGTAGGTAAGATTGAATTTGCAGGTTTCGGCACCTGGGGATGTAGACAAGAATAAGGAACTCTGAAGAGAAGGAACTGGTGTGGTGATAGGAAGTGGTGATAGGAAGTGGCGAGGATGATGAGGTGGTTTTCAATCCTGTGAGTCAGGATTTTGGTAACTTCTTTACCTTTCACAGGAAAATAAACAACCCACACCAGCCAGTTGTACTCACTAGTGCTTTCAAAACATACACATTTTTTAAGTTGTGTATGGACTCAATGCCTTTATTTATTTTTATGTGGTGCTAGGATCGAACCCAGTGCCTYGCACTTGCAAGGCAAGTTCCCTACCACTGAGCCACAACCACAGCCCTCTTTTGCTTTTTAAGGCTTTGATCCTGTTCAGAAGTCAACACCTGTGACAGGACTGACATGTTGAGTTGCTAACAGTCACCCAGGTGTCACTGGAAGAGCTGATAGGGGAGTCGTGGAGGAGAGTGTGGGTGCTGAGGAGAGGAGAGAGGGTCTGGCATGAAGTGCAGCCTAGGGTGCTGGCATGACAGACCTGAGTGGACCCTGACAGACACTTGGGGACCTTTGGGTGTGTTCTGATGTTTACACAGTTCAGATTTCTGCCTGCCTGGGGACGCATTCTTAACATGCCTTTTGTGTGGAACTGAGTATTTTTCGCTCCTCCGTGGTGTGGACCTCTGGCCTGGTCAGGCCTACTTCATCCTCACGATGGCTGCCATGGGTTAGACCTCAGCCTCAACTTCTGCTGCTCATGGTTCCTATCCCAATCCTCTCCCCTCCACATCTGCCGCCCTCCCGGGCCTCACCTTCTCTCGGGCTGCCCTTGACTGTCCCTCCACTTTTTTCCACAAAAATTGCCTTTGCTTTTGCATTCTRTGTGTTCAGCATTCGATTACATTTAGCTTTACCTTGTGTCATATTTACTGTAGGTTTATTCTCCCTAACTTAGCATTTCTCAAAATGTCCCATGAACAATGTGATCTATTAAACACAAACAGGCTTAAAATTAGAGTAGGAATTGGTGGTTTTAGCAAAGAGTTAAAGCTTTGTGTTGTTTTGTTTTTTGGTACTGCAGATTGAACCCTAGGTTGTTCTACCACTGGGCTACATTCCTGATTCTTTTTTATTTTGTGATAGGGTCTGACTAAGCTGCTGAGACTGACCTTGAAGTTGAAATCCTCCCGCCTTAKTATAGGCATGTACCAATACTGTATCTCACAACTTTTTGTTTTTTAAACCATAATCTTCTACATAGCTTTAATTTACAAATATAGATCCTGGTCCCTATGAAGTGTTYCTCTGTGTTATTTACTTGTGCGAGAACCTGTTTTTCATCTTGTGGGGCTGTTGTTCTGCAAGACACAGTTTCCAGAAGGACTGCTGTAATTGGCTTTGGTTCTGGAAGTGTGGAAACTGCACTGTCCTTCACTGTGGATCCCCACATTAGCTGAAGGCAGCACTAGGCAGATGGCAGTAATTTTGGAGTAAACAAACTCAATACAGTTGTTCAGTTTTTTTAAACAAATGTTTCTATTGTGGCACTCATATAAAATGCATTTTAACCATTTTGAAGTATATAATTCAGTGGCATTTAGCGTGTTCACAGTGTTGTGCAACCATTACCACCATGTTGTTCAGGAACATTTTTATCACCCCCAAGAGGAAACTCTATACCTATTAAGCAGTCACTCCCATTTTCTCCTTCCATAGCAACCACAAGTCTGCTTTCTGTTTGTGTGATCTTCCCTGTTCTGAACATTTTATACAAGTAGATTTTACATGATATGTGGCCCTGTGTGCCAGGTTTGTTTCCTTAGTAGAGTTTTGATAAAGATACAATGTCATAGGACTGGATGATACCTCTGCTCCTCCAAAGCAGTACTTCTTCATCGATCAAACCACATAAATGTCTAAGTAACAAAAAGCAATCATCTATCTGGAGACCTAAGTTACGTGGCCAGGTTAGAACTATCATGGAATGTAGTGGAAAAGGGTCAGAAGTGTGGTTGACATTGCTGTTGACCTGGGATTTCAGGAAGCTGGTTTCAGCCAACACTCAAAATCTTTTCTTGCAAGTCAGAGGTGGTACAGTTGGCTCATCATCGTCACACATTCCCTTTCTAGTTGGAGGTCTCGGCATTCAGTCTACTCATCATTAATAACTGTAGATCATTCCAGAGTGGTTAGGCCCTACAGGGGCACCCTGGGGAAAAGGTCTCACAGTTCCACTGTTCTGTAGAGCCCTGAGCCTGAAGRCTCAAACAAAAATTAGATATACCAGGGCTCTCTCTCTCTTGAATTCCCAGAGGATACAGTACTCAATCACTATAGAAACAGCAATTGGTGGCCCCTTCCACTCCATGCTCAGCAACAGTAACCCCTCACTTGTTCTGTGGGCTTATGCAACCATTTCCTCATTCCATGAAATTCAGATTCCAAGGATCTCAAATCTGGGAGCTGCACCCTGTTTGTACCATTCTCCGCCCAAAGGTGTATCTTTCACCCATCTGCCTAAATGGCAATGCATCATCTTCTGCCTAAAAATCTGTAATAAGAACCYATGATACTATCTTGGTGTTCCAGACAAGCTTCTAATTTTTGAGAATTTCTCTTTGCCTTCTTGGTGTAGACTTTGGCCCGTCTATTGATCAGGCTGGTCTCATTCTTCCCCCTACCATCATCTCTTACCAGCTCTTTCAGGGCTTGGAATGATGGCCCTGATTGGTCCCATTCTTCCTTTGAAGCTCATTTGAGGCTCAGCAGCTGTGCAAAGCTTTCCCAAACATTCTAGCAACCTTTGTTGCCTGCAATAATTCCCTGTTGCACTCAAATACAGCTGGAAACATTTTTTCCTAAAGATTTTCTGTCTTCCTCCCTCTCAGTCAGATGGCCAGCTCTCGGAGGAAGGGATCACGAAGTAAGCAGGTAGCATGGGAAGGTATTCAACTATGAATCTGAGTGACAGGTTATACCTCTAGGTCTGCCACTTCATAGCTGTGTTATCTTGGAAAAGCCACTAAACTTAAACTTCTGTTCTCATCTGTAAAAACAAGTGGGGGTAAGGTGGATGTATTGGTTTCCTGTATGCTGCTATAACAAGTTATTACAAATTAAATGGCTTAAAGCAGCACCATTGTATTCTCTTATAGTTCTAGAGGTCAGAAGTCCACAATGGGGCTGCAGGGCTTCGTTCCTTCTGGAAGCTGTAGGGGAAAATCTGTTTGTTTTTTTCAGCTCCTGGAGACTGCCTGCTTTCCTTGAATATTGTCCCTCTTCTGCATCAGAGCACATCACTCCAACCTCTGCTTTTGTGTATCCTCCCCTCCCCTCCCCTCCCCTCTCCTTACTCTCTCCTCCCTCTTTCCCTTTTAAGGACCCTTTTAATATATYGGGCCCGCCTGAATAATCTAGACAGCCTTCCCTTCTCAAACTGAATCATATCCKGAAACTGTCTTTTGTTGGGTAWGGTAATTTATTCAGAGGTTCTGGAGATTAGGACATAATCTTTGTCTTTAAGGGCCCTTATTCTGTCTTAGGTCTCCAGTGTCTCTCACTTGCCACAAATCAAAAGACGGATTTTTTCCGTATGCAAGAACTTACTTAGCACACACTGCTGGTTCATCAGCTCCTTGATATGTTTATCCATGAGGATTTTTCTCTTTGCGTGTTGTTGGTTAAGGTTCTAGGATCTGATACAACTCAATGATAGAACTGTGAGCACATATCTTAGAATTGCCATTTTTCAGGCTTTTATGTGAGAAAATTTGTTGATGTTCTTCTGCCAATCTTTGATTTTGTGCTTTGCAAAATTTGAAAAGACTAAACTAATTTCCACTAACCCAGGAGAGTTTTTAAACATTCTGCTAATCATACTGGTGATTCTGCCATGTTTCTGGTTCTCTCTCCATAAAGTCCTGGATGTGTCTCTTGCTTAAGTTGAAGTATATGTGTTTTTTTGTGTGTTGTTTTTTTTTTAAGGTTTAGGAGCCAAACGGTTTTGGATGCTCACCTAGCGAGTCTCATTTATAATTGCTACTTAATGTTAAATTYATGGTATTTCATAGCGATTTAGGTTGGCACTTACATGGGAGTTACACTGTTTTCCTTTCCCTACCTCCTATCWGGTGGTTTCCACCTTGAATGACCACTACTTACAAAGCAGAAGGAAAACATCCATAAAATATATTTATAGTGGGTCTGTTATGTTCTCCCCAGCACATAGATCAGTGTACTGAAATAGGATTACCCATGGGTTGAAAACTGTCCCCTGTCTTAAAGTTTTGAGTTTCAAGGTTACATTTGGCTGGAATCTGAGAAATGTACGATGTGAGTCAAACTGGCCTGTTGAAATTTTCTTTCCCTTTTGTCTCTAGATGCACCCACTGGGCCTGTGTAATAACAATGATGAAGAGGACTTGTACGAGTATGGCTGGGTAGGAGTGGTGAAGCTGGAACAGCCAGAATTGGACCCCAAACCATGCCTCACTGTCCTGGGCAAGGTAAGTACCAGGCCCTCTGAATTGCTGCCATTCTGGTTTGTGTTTTCCACTCATTTCCCTAGGTTTTTAAGTAGTTGGTTAGAGAGAAGAGTCAASCTGGCACAGCGCCTCTCCTGGTGAAGTTTTGTGTTGAGGATTCAGACAGATCTTAAGGCAACCCACCACAGTGCTTACAAACTTGGGCTTGGAAAGAAATTGCCAGCTTCAGAGACAGCTCTTACCCCTTGTGTTCATGTGCTAGTTGCTTCCCCTCAAGGAGTCTGTTTCTCGTCTGTAAAATGACAAATGAGAAATAATAGAAATTAGCAATAATAGAAATTGAGAATAGAAATTGGCAATACTATGTCTTACAACACGAGGACCAAATATTTCAGAATCCTAAGATGGTGGGGGGGGGGKTAAAAAGGTACTAAGGTGCATATAGTTTCTATTAAATAACCTCCAGRGGATCTAGGACAGCACATAGTAATCACACACATTCCAATTTGTCTAGCAAACCATTGGGATATTCRCATTATGTGGGATAACTAAAATCTAAATAGTCTCATGTTAGTTCAGGGCAGGCTTTGCCTCCAAATGAGTTCAGGTCCATTAAATTTTGCTGCCAAGTAAGTTATGGAAAAACTTTTGGGTTTTAGAGCTTTTTAGGTTTCAGAATGGCAGACAGCAATTATGGTCTTGTTTTAGAACTTACCTCATAGGGTGGTTAGGAGGTGAGATGAGATGCAAATACCTCCTGTAAGAGTAAGCTCTCCAAAGACATCTGCTGCCGCTGACCATTGTCACCCATTTAGAAGTACTAAAAAAGACTTTTTAGCCAGAAGGATCAGCATTGCTTCTGACTGCAGCGTAAGATAGAAATAAATCCATCCATCAGGGACCTCAGAATACAACAGGTAACTGTTTTAAAGTGGATCATTTTGTTAAAAGGAAAGGTTCAGAGAAAATTATTTGAATTTTGGTTGGAGGAAAAGTGGTGTCCCCTATGGATATTACTGCTGGACATCTCTTATGTTCTCAAAAGCTTTAGTTCTGAGTACTGTTGGGAGACAGCTGGTGGGGGAACCATCCTGGTTACTRACATCTTAGGCTCTCTTGAGAGATTTAGGCAAGAGAAGAGGTGATTTGGGTGCAGGGAACCAGAGAGGGGAGCCTTTCTCAGGTCTAAAGAAGCCCCTATCGCCTGAAAGACTTTTGGCCCTGGAGACCATCACAGATCTAATTTTTKATTTTTGTGTCCCTTTTGTCTTTGGAGTAGCAACAGGGCACTTGTCAAGTTTTCCTGCTTTTCATTTGATGATGTTGGTTGGGGGGCCCCTCAGGAATTGATTACCTGTTTGGTTTATAATTCACAAAGTTCAGTCAAGATGTTTTAAGTAGCTCAGGCCCTGATACTTTATCATTTAAATAGTTGACCAGAGCTGCTTAATGGTTGTAGTAGAGCAACAACCCTCTTAAGAATATTTTGGTATTTTTCTAGGAGAAATGCCAGCTAYGTCCACAGGTAGGAACAGAACTTGCCTTGTCGGTGTTCAGCTTTCTTCTCTACTTAAACTGCGGCTATGTAGCGCTCAGCTCCTTCGCTTCATTTGCTCTGCTCCGCAGTGGTGGGGCTCCATCTTTATATCTGTTGTGTCTATAAATGGGTTGGAATGGGATTCAAAGGGTTACCTTACTGTTGTCCYACAGTTTAATGGTAGGGGCACTTGTTGAAATCATTCAGAGAACCCGACTATTTCTTCATCCTCCTGGATTAGCCATCCGTGGTTTTACTTRGAGAGTTTTATATGGTTTGGCCTGCTAGTCGGTGAAGCCAGAGGGAATAGAAGCCTTAGACATATATTGAATGATTAAGTACTTCGAGGGTTTATTCATTCACTAAATGGTTATTGAATGCAGGACCCGAGGAGCTAAGTGTGTAGTTCTACCTGCCTGAGAGCAGCTAACCCCATGTTTCTGTTTGGAAAGACTACAGGGTGGGAGGAAACATTGGCACACAGTTATTGCCCTTTGTCTTAGAGTTGATACCTGCATAAAATCATTAGCAAAAAAAGCTTGGTCCAGTCAAAGTAAGATGATTTCATATTTGCTTAAAATTGGTGTCCGAAGTRTGATGAGTCCGGCCTGCGCCCACCCTGTCTGTCTCACGGTCTCTTTCTCATCTTCATAAAATGTGATTCTTCTCAGCTTCAGTTTCATTAAGTTTGCTGTGTTTTCTTTTTTTCTGACCTCCGAAGGGCAGGAGCAAAAGACAAGAGTTTTTAATTTACTAGGAAGGCAAAGTAATTCCTGTGAGTAGCTGAGTCCCTTTCAGACAGTATGATTTTCCTTCCAGTTCTTGGCTGAGGAGTCAGGGCAAAGAGCGGCCCAGAAGTCCAGGGAGGAGGGCTGTTGCAGCTCGCAGCAGAGTGCTTGTGGGAGGCCCTGGGCTCCATCCCCAGCACTTAAAAAGTTGAGAAAAACATAGAAAGAAAGTACAACAAGGCCGGCTTGTGGGTGCGCATGGAGGGACTCCTCTGGGTGGATGTTGGGACTTGTGGAAAGCCATGGAAGGGAGGCTTCTGTCAACTGAAGCGTGTAGGCATTCAGAAAAGCCTGGGAGAGACAGGGGAGGGCTAGACATGGCCCTTCTYTCTTACCATCACCCACCCACCCATAGAAAATGCCACAGGGTGAAACCTTGAAATAAGAGAGGAATGTCCTAAATTTWAAAAAAACTTAAATGCCTCTCCAGGAGTTCAAATAAAGTTTCTTTTTAAAAACAAAAGACATAAACTCATCACCTTRGTTTATTACCAAGTGCTTTTGAACTTCTTGGAAAAGAACACTATAAACTTATGAGAAAAATGATTTATGGTCCTCTCCTTCTAATCTTTTCGATGCAGTAGGAGGAGGCTCAGACAGTAGGATCAGCTAGGGAGGCCGATTTGGGTTGAAGGAGAGCCCCCCACAGGGAAGCAGCAGGCCAGGGCGCCATGCCAGACCCTGCCTCAGACAGGCACAGGGCAAGTCTCTTAAACCTCCAGGGCTCTCTCTTTCATTTTATGTGAAGAGCCTGTCCTGGGTCCCTTGCACTTTTAGTATTTTGAGCTTCTGGATCATATGTAAAATCTTTCCTGGATATTCTAGTGTGGGGAGATTATAGTTACACCATTGAAAGACAGACTCTTTGGCCTGAGACAGTTTTAAGTCCTAGGTTATTAAAAGAATAAACTGACATTTCTGGACAGCTTTATTGAAAAATAAGGGTCTCAATCATCCCCCAAAGTACAAGAATCTGTTTAAATCCAGGCATTTTAATCCTTCAATTCAGTAAGTGTTTATTAAGCATCTTGTGGGGCTGCAAAGAATTTAGAGGGTCCACTTTAATAGCTTTGACTCCCATGACCTGTCACCTCATGGAGAATTTCATGGAAGAAAAGATGTACAGGAGCACTTGGCCCTGATTCTGTAACTTCAGGCAGAATAAATCCTTCTCTACCYTCCGAATGGAGTGATTCCCAACAAGGGTTTTGAAATTGCATGGTTAACAGGCGTGGACTCAGCTCTTTCCATGCTTAAGAGGATAGTGTGGGGACATTAATAAAAAGACAAGGAATTTCATGTCACAGAGACCTTACATTGGCTGAGTGACCTTACAAAGGTGACTTTAGTTCTTGGTGCCTTACTCATTTGTGAAATAGGCTAATGCTGCCTTTGTCCTTTTTGTGCCGATTCTTATGAGACGTTTGCAACACCCTTGGCTCCAAGCTTGACCACAGTGATGCCAGGTGAGAGTATGAAAGCATCGTCACTTGTTGGGCGCCCTCCGCATGGCTGGAGCTTTTTGTGCAGGTGTGGTGTCTCCTTGGATTATCCGACTAACTTTGAGTTCCAGTTCATGTTCTCATGTTAGGCCAAAGAAATCAAGTCCCAGAGAGGTTCTCTACATAACCTAAGATSGAACAGCTCAGAAGAGCTGAAATAAACCCTCTGCTGCTTCACCAATGTTGGTTTCTTCTCCTTGCCTTCTTTTGTCTTGGCCAGTTTTTCTAGATAAAGGTGAGATGCATTTTAGTGTAGCCGCAGGCCTGATCAGGACTGTGCTCCACACAGTGGCCTCCCACCTTGGGCTCCACTGACAGAAAAGGGGATTTGCTCTGAGGGTCCTGGGCTGTCCCAGAACCTAGGAACCCACAGTGGTGTCGCGGCTGCTGCTACTGCTGCTGCTGCTGCTCTTCTAATGCAGCCACTCCTGGGCAGCCTCTGCTGAGTCTTCTCTGCATGCATCTGTCTCTTTCTGTCCCTGCCCCTGGTGGGACAGGTGGGAAACACAGTCCTGAACATTCCTGGCTTGACACACTGTTTTGAGTCCTAAAGATTCTAGAAAACAGATTCATTGGCCCCTCTTGGATCAGGTACTTGGAGGCTTAAAACACTGGAACTTGGCCTGCCTCGCCCTGCTGTGTGTGGAGAGCGAGAGGAAGTTTTGTTCTCCAGAAGGGAGCTGGGGGAGGCAGTGCTGGTCTGCAAGTAACTCCCTCAGTTTATCCTGAGTCACTCAGAGAGGTCCAGTGGGAAGGAACTCTTGGTTCATAGGCCAGATCCTCTTACCCTGCACATAGGCCATGACTGTGGTGAGCGGAGAATGGCTAGTCCAGACTGGAGGGGTGGGCAGGTTGTACTGAGAGGGGCTATGTGACAGAGCATGAGACGTGAGACAGGACCAGGGGAAAGAATCTCCAAAATAGGGCAGGGAAGAGGRATCAAGGGTTTCTTATAGGGACATTGGAAGTTGTTGAGGAAGGAGGAGGCTTTCAGGTTAAGGAAGGTCTCCTTCTGGATAACTGGAAGCCACTGAAGGCTTCTGAAGAGGACCCGTGTCATAGGACCCTCCTCTCTGGATGATCATTTTGCAGTAGGGTCTAGGCTGGATGGAATATCTGGTTGCATTTTGCGGCTTGATGTTTCTGGTAACTGCGTCGACCCAGACTAGTTCTCTGTGATGCTTTGGTGAGGCT